TTTGGAGCACATCCGCATTCACGTGTTGTTTTCCTGGTCTGTGGTGACATTCAAAATACTGTTGCCACTGAATTGACTGGTAATCTATTAGTACTTCAAGTTTCTCTCAAGCAGGTTACATCAATTTTGTCTTATAAAAAGCAAGGCCGGCATTGCACTTCTAGGCAAGCAATTATTCATTGCTCTAAAAGCATGGCACCGACTGCCATAACATACCATGCCTTCAACTCCGTCAGGCTCCTTCTGTGATAACTAGGCCCCGATTGCAGTCATTTGCCTCCGTGTCTAAGATGAACACTCACGCTGATGGAGATGAATCCGGAAATGCCAATCAAGGAGTGGTACAGAGTGACACTTGTGACAGACCGAACAGCTTACAAGATTCTGGAGACAATTCGAAAGGCTGATTTTTGGAAGTAGTGCATTTAATGGTGCAGTACTGCATAGAACTCCCTAATAAATCATCTTTAGTATGATGCAAGACATGAGAAAGCTGCGTGACTGGTCAGTATTGACTGGAACAGTCCAGGATTTCACCTGTTCTGTTTTCTGATGGTCTGACCGAATGCTCGTCCTCGTAGCGCCTTGATCAATTTAGGTCACCTCTTCTTGCAGTAAGTGGCGGTTTGCGAGTTGTAATTTGAGGCCCACATTATTGAGCGCGTCAGCACCTCTGACAAATTGCTTAAATGTTTGTTTCTTGTGTTCCCATGCATAATAACATCATCCAAGTAGATAAGACACTTTTGGGAATTCAGTCTACTCAACACTTTTGTATTTGGCGTTAAAATGTTGCAGGTGCGTTTGATAGCCCAAAAGGCATGGTGTGAAATTTATAAAGACCCCACGGTACTACAAACACCGCTTACGCATGGTCACTCTCGTGGACTTCGACCTGCCAGTACCCAGAACCTAGGTTCAGTGTGCAAAAATAGGGCAATCCTCCAAGGATAGCAAAAGCTCATCAATTCAAGGGAGGAAGAAGGCCTCCTTATTTTAACCGTCTACAAACCATGCACAGTCGGAATCCACCGATTCTCTTCTCGACCAGAACAATCGGGGATGCCCATAATGTAGTAGAGAGGCGCACTATATATTTTTCATATTTCATCTATAAACTTTGTAATGCGCTCTGCCAATGTACTGAAATTCGCCTCAGTGGAGTCTTAATTGGTCTCGCAGCCCCGGTCTCTATCCAGCCCTTAACGATGCTGGTTAGACCTAAATCTCCAGTTAGCCAAGCGAATGCTTCCGAGTAATCTCGCAACATTATCTTGAGTATTTCCAATGTCCGCTTATCAAAGGAATGATAGGTGGAATGAACACAATTTGCTATGCACTTTGTGCTACCAGATTTGTTTTCACAAATGTAAAAGCTTTTGTGCAATCACTTCGTCATGGTTTGAGCATTACAGTATAACAGTCTGTGATCAGTCGGAGCTTGTCTATGTATAATCTGCATTTCAATCGGCTCAGTAGATCCATTGCAATAACAGCCACAAACGAAATTCTGTCTGCGATGATGAACTAGTGGTGAAATTCGTCACTCGCAATCTCAACTACTATGTAATAGATTTCCGGTCGGTAAGTGGCTCTCCGTTGGTAACAGTCAAATTGTCACGGCAAGGTGCCCATACGCATTTAACCAGCTGGGAAATCGGGTTGCATCTAACCAAACGTTTGCAACCACCCGTGCCAATCGAAACTATCAGTGGGACCAACCCCTAATAGTAGATAGCGAACACGCAACCGCGGGTATGAAATGTAGCTTCATATGATTACGCTTCCTGAATAATTTTGGTTTCCGCAAAGTGGTTAAAAATTACGGTTGGTCTGTGGTTTAGGGGCGGAAGCTTCGGAAATTCGGTTGGCCTGGTCCCTGGGGGTGCTAGTACCCACGATGTGCAAATGCGGCCGACGTGCATTCCGATGGTCGATACCTGGTCCATAATGTTCTCTCACAGCACACCAACAAGATGGTGCAGTATCGATGACCGCCTCGTCAAGTTCTAATCGTTCTGCCAGTCCTACAGCTTTGTCCCACTGGTCAGCAGGGTACAACAGCAGCTCACGCCGAACCGGTTGCATGCACACCCTAGCCACTAACCCTGGTAATAGAGGTTTTCCTCTTATCTCAGTTACTTCAGTGGCAAGTGCACGTCCCTCAGTCGTTTTAGGTCCAGTGCAAAGTATCTTACACTTTCCCTGGCTGCTGAAAACATGCATGGTATACTTGTAGCCACTGCGTGGTAAGAAGTGCTGAGTCGAACAATTCTGCTAGTTCTTCAAATGCGGTGGCGCTGATCACTCACTCTGTCACAATGACAAAGACCACTTAACATAAAGATCCTAGGAGCGTATAATCCTGCGTTGCATCAGTGTGACATGAATGCTTTTGTGTGTTCGGCCCACTTGGGAAAGAACCTTTTCAAAGAAAATTTCTCCAGAGCTGGCAGCCACGGAAGGCAGTGGGGGTTTGTGAGACTAGAGAAACAGTATCCGTATGGAATTGGCGCGATCAACCGCTTCTTCCGAAGCGGGCATTTCGTTTTTCTTATCGCCCGCTGCACCAATTTGCATTAATGGTTTCGGTATTTTCTGTATGAATCCAGGCAATGTCGGCAGATTGTAATATCCGAGGCAGGAAGAACGCGACAGACGGAAACAGAACCTCTGTTTTACAACACGTAAATGCTCTAAAGAGGAATCCGTGTAACGAAACTAGGACAGAAGTAATGTTACAGTAAGATGTCCTCCTCTGTTTCGCATACTTCCCATGTAATTGAACAAGTAGAACACAAAGTAAGGCAATATGGAAGGCGGCGTTAAAACAACGATTCAAATTTGAACACGTGTCAGCAACAATATCGATCTTCCGTTACACGAGTATATTCACTTTACTGACCTTAAACTGGTTCAAGAAAACAAATGGAAAATATGATTAGCAACAAGCGGGACTTATGTCCACAGTGTGTAGCGTAGAACAATATTCCAAACACGACTGCAATGGACAAATTTGAAGACCTCTCCAGGTGATATATGATTTTATGTTGATAAGCTTTTGGAACACTGAGGCAAATTTGGTGAAGGTGACCACCATGGGACGAGTATTAGGATTGCTAAGAAGAACGTTTCCACAGGTGTATCACATGACGCAAAGGTGTTGTTTGTCAAAAAGTTTAACATAGCGTATTCAACCCCAGCTTAACCGGATAGTTTACTCTTTAGATTTGGTATCTAACATCAACCTTAATATAAATGCAGCCACTGTCACCAACATCCCGGGGCGGACTGCCGCCGCCCTACCTTGCTACGTCTGTACATGGAGTGAATTTGTAAATAAAACGCTTTTTCTCGCTAAATTCACGTGATAATTGGTAATAATATATCATTTGAGGTAAATAAACTGTATCTATTTCAGACAGTATCGTAAACACATGACTTGATAGTGCTTGTACACGACACGGGTCACTAGGTCGAGTTGTCTAACTTAGAGGTTATTATTATGGGTATACGATCCACTCCGCAGTGGTTGATTGTCTAGGCTTTGGAAATTAAACAATTAGGACAAGTGTGTGGATAGAATGTAGGGGGCAGAAATCTCTAGTGCTTGGCGAGCTGTCTTAAGCCGGTCAGCAAGACCAGCGTCAGTAAGTGGATCAAATCGGAAAGCGTTAATCTACTACCATGGTCAACACTATGGGCTTATTAGTCAAAGCCATGCACAAAGGCACATCTGGGCTATTCCCACTGTAATTGAACCACCTGAGGTGACATCACGAACTGTGGTTGTAACTACATTGGCTCAATTCGCGAATAAAGCAGCTATTGTCCCTGTTTGCTAGAAAATGGTACTCCAATTTTGCACTTTTTTTCCTGGGCTGACGAAACTCTGGTGTCAAGAGCGAAAGTTTACTAAATGACTATACTGACAATATTGTTTCCAAACCTCTCTGAACTATATACTTCTCGATCGGCCCCAACCATCTTCGAATCATTTTATTACCGACCCTACTTTGTTCGCAAAGCATCTATATTGTGAATAAGATAATGTCCCAAAAGTAAGATCTTGAAGGATAAATAACAAATTTATGAAGCTGGTGAGCAATTCTGTTAGTATTTTGTAGTTGTTCACCACATATTTATCCAAATTGAAACAAGACTAGATAAGGATAGCAATATAAGTTTGTTGAAGCGGGAAAAGGAAGTCTTTAAATGAAATCCATATTTCATAGGCATTTTGTCCAAACGTTTTATTGGCTGTCATCTTAGTCTTTTGATATATCACAATCTTGATGGTAATGTTAGCTGTTTCATTTTGAAATCTAGCACTAATCACAAGCTACCAAATCTGTGCATTTAGCGTACTCCAGAAATGTACGGTCATTATAGTATCCTTTCCAAGACAGTTTATCTATACGCCCTTGTACTTTAATGCCTAATGTGTCCCTTCATCTAGTAGCCAAGAGAAGTCTTCAATTCAATAACATGACTGGTTGGTATGTGAAAAAGCTATCATTTACCAGACGTCTAGTATCGCTTAATCATAATTACCTCTCACAATTCCATCTTAGTCATCTAAAATATGTGCGTTCAAAACTATCTAACGTTTTTTATCAACCATTGCTTAGCATGACTAAAGCTGGGTAAAACTTAATTAAAACTGTAAAGCTAAGGCATTGCATAAACATGATCAATATTGCCTTTCGGTCAAATGTTCCGGTTACAAAAGACATTTGACCACAACATTACCTCTCCGCAGTTGAGGCAAACCGCTTCACAGCTGTGAACATATTATGAAGAAATGAGTGTGCATGGGTGATTATTAATACACAAGAACACATGTATTTTTCAACAGGAAACCTAACTCACTCAAGTAATTATTACCTCATATTTCCGTCTGTCACAGTAAAGATGCTTACAAACGCGTAGCCATTTTGATGTCCCCAAATTCAACAATAACAAGCAAGAAGACGAATACATTTAGTGCCTTCAATTTTATGGAACCACAACCAAAGAACGTGTCCGAAGAGAATGTCAATACCCATCAGAGCCGCCTACTAGTTACATCCTCGTATTTGGTGGTCGCCATTCGGGACAACGGTGCATGCTCCACTCTGCGTAGCGTTGCCATAATTTATTTCGCATGTCCGCGGTTCCAGCGAGAACTTATCGAGTTTCCACGCACATTGCCACAAGATGTTGAAGTTGCCGTTCCCGTTCAGGGCCGTTGCGTTTCTGGATCATTCCTCCCTAGAGGAGTCAGTCTCCCACTGTTGACATGTATGCCAGATGGGCGCTGGTGCACGACAAATCAGTGTGCACGCCCACAACAACTTGATGCTCGCAAAAGTTTGGACCGCCTAGAGGAAATCTCAGGAAAATGTGTTTGCATGCCTGGCCACGGACTTTCCTTGGATCAAGCTACAAAGCAAACCACATGTCGGCGTGAGTTTTGCTGTTCTGCCATCCTCATTGAGCAAACTTTGCCAAATAATAGCGGTTAACACACGGTACACGTGAAATACATAATCAAATGCAACTTTTTAATGTTCCATAATTAGACTTCGCAACGCTGGTTTAACAACTAAGTTTTATACCCCTCATAAGCCCGGTAATTGGCCGCAATATGATTGCTGAAAGCAAAAATGGAATGAGAACTATATTCTGCAATTTCAGCAAGCGCATAAAAATGGAAAATTTTAGATCAATTTACCCATATTTCCATACTACCTGAAGTGGGATCTACAGTTCGTCGAGCTGGATTAAATGGTCGCATGCGTTTCACCACCGTAAGCGGTTGTTTCTTCAGTGCGGAGATGTGTGGTGGGTGCACTCAGTAATTGAATCGTCTATTCGTGATCGACGGTCAAGTGCGTTTTGAATGTGACGTCTTTGCATTTGTCCCGTGATCTTCGTTCATTTCTCACTCACCCGGAGCAGTCGCACGAATTGTTCGCTACGTATGCGCCCATTTATTCAATCTAGGAAAGTCAATTGACAGTTGAACATCCCACATGGGTTACTGGTATTTCCAGTTATTTCTAGCTTTTTATAGCGCTACGGGTACCGAACCAATGATCGCAAGCTTTCACGTAAATGCCAAGCCATTTGTAGATAGGATGATTTGGATATTTCTCGTGATTCTTCAATAATAACATGCAAATAAATTTCCTGAACACAGCAATTAAGTAGCTGGTTTATGCTTACAGCTCTGTTTGCTACTTCCCCTTTTTAACGCATCAAGTCTACTATAGATAAATAATTGCGCAAAAACTAAATATGTAAAAGCATCTTACCTGGAACCATACTTTGCTGCATTCTTACGCTGAATATGTATAGAACTGTTTTCAAGTTTACCTGATGGACTAGATCTGCCAATTTACACAGGTCCGTCGGATGAATTACCGATGGCAAGCTATGGACAGCGCAACTTTGAGCGCATGTAATTATGCACCAGCTCGACAAGGTTAACACTGCAGAATTGATGCTGTCTCCATTTTGATTCTGACAAAATTGAAACGTGTGTGGAAGTTTTTAAGAACTGCAATAGTTAAGCAGAACTTAAGCGTAAATGAATATCGGTGCAAGAATGTGTCGAGTATTTTTCATTTACACTGCACCAGAAAATCATAATATCGCTTTACACTGCCTGCTCAATAAATGTAATAGTGATGTGCAAGCCTGTTTTAAATCCCAAACAAAAAATTGATGCAATTATCTGTGCGTATGCCATGCGTGCCGCAATATCTCAAATGTTAGGTAGCATGTAGACGTAAAATATCAATGACAATACGTTATGCTTTCAGGTTTTGACTGCACTGGATTACAGACGACCCATAAATCTATACATTTAATACAAGAATAAAGCGACGCATGACTCCTTGTGGTGTGCACTAATCTTTTACACAGTTACCTTCAGAGCCTATCCAAAACAAACCAGGTTTCCAAGCGTGGTTAACGCGTCTGTATCATTCGATTGTGTAATCTAATTTTACGGGATTCCTCTAGACCAATTTCACGTCGGATGACCTGTAAGCAAAATGCGGGCATTCTATATTTCTGTAATAATGGCGCGGTTATAGATTTAACACTGCATTATCAAACTTGTAGAAATTTAGATTCCATTCAGAAAATAATTTTGGGTGTTCTTCGATCGTCCATAAGCACTCAATCCATGTAATTACAAAAAATAGGTAAATCTATTTGGCCTAATCTTATCTTTCACTTTCTACACATGGTTTTTCCTTTCCTGTTCTATCCTTGGTTTTAAGTATGCAACTTTGTTCACTGTTTATGTTAGTTTCATGCTTAAATTTGCATTCATTCAATTAAATATAAAAACGTATGTTTGGCACCAAATAAAGCCAACTCTTGTTACGTTAAGCATGGTGAAACCGGGAATATGTACTGCATATATTGTTTGGAATATCTTCATCCCAAATAAACACTTTGTCCGGTAAAACTGTTCAAAATATTAACGGTAGAGATTTGTTAACAACGCTATATGTTGCAGCGGTAAATGGTGTGCCTCATAAACGTTTGTTGATTTCAATTCACTTAGTCTAACAAAGGAATGTTTGTGTTGCAAAACGTAACTATAGGACAAAATGTTAAGTTTCGCATCTCCTAACTTTGCACAGTAAATTGGTCTTAACTCCGAAAGTGTTAGCACGAGACCCACACCAATGACTTTTATGCTAGTGGTTTGGGAGATATGATAAATAGCCGAAGTTAAAGGGCCTTTGGTGAACGTGAGAATGATAGACATTATTTTATTCTTCTATATTCATACCGCATTATTTCACTTTGAAATAAACTTTAATCCACTGTAAGCGATAAGGAATTTAAAACAACTGATATTTCAACATTTACACTGAATTATCCGCGAATGATACACAATCCCATCACTCTCAACATCTTGCTTGTGTGAAATGAGAGCGGCTCAGGTTAACGAAACGTGCGTGATTGTTAAGGCTACAACATCCCCAAATCTGGTCATATTATATCATTTTCCCTTACAGTGTGCGCTGAAAATGAATATAAAATACTTCCTGGTTCCACCCCCTGCCGCCCTTGTCCCAAATACTCTTATCGGCCACAGAACAACACGAAGAGGGCTTCTGAATCAGTTGCTTATCTTGCACTTAATGCGACTCGCAGCAATTTCGTGGAAACTTATACGGAGCATTCCGTTGCAAGCAGTGCGTGTTTATGTCTGTACGGTTATTATCGACATCCAAAATTGGATACCGAAGATTCTGCTTGTTCCAGTAAGTTTTTATCCCAGCCTCTGGAGTGATTTGCTTACATTTGATATTATCAATCAATTACTTGCTTTGGCGAACAGTTTCTGGAGACCAAATGACATATCCAAAGGAGAAAACTTACCGGACACCTACCATTCGTTTCTTCGCCACTGTGGTAGGAAATGTGTAGCGGCCAGCTGACAACAACCTCCTACAGTTTACCCAGACCCTCTTGACCAGCCAGATCATGACCAAATATTGTGTAGTAATATATGCTCATGAGCTTCAGCTGACCTGCAAGTAAAAATGTCAGTTATGTCCGCTCCTTTCTCTATGCATTCATTCGGACTAACCATATATCTTATGACATATGATGTACTATCATTAGGAGGATAATAAGAGCTAAAACACACCTATTGTTCTCTTCGCTGACTTGTCTGATTCAGTTATGCTTACATATACTGGTAAGTGACAGTCTAGAAAATCTGAAACCTAAGAATCTGAATCAAATTTCGTAATTTTACTTTACCAGCACATATTCGTCGTTCGCTCTTCGCTAATTTAAATATAAGCTTAATATGACGCATCGATTCAATTTGGATTCTTTGTCATTTGATATATGGGAAAATGGAAAGCAGCTTGTTTATCAATAAGATTATAAAGAGTAAATTTGTCTATTTGATAACGAAAATCACAAGTGCTTATTTTGATAGGTATGTAGTGGTTGATTTTGCATTCATGATGCTAAACCAAGTTATGCTTAATCTAAGTCTTTTATTCCACATAAGAGTCATTTCTCCTTATTTGCTTTGCTCATTTCTGTTATCTTGCTGCATATTCTGTGTCGACTTTGCGTGTTTATTTTTCCCTAAATTATAGGTGGGTTGTTTGATATCCAGGTGTGGCTGCGGTTGATGGGAATGTTGATATGGTGCCTACAAATCCAACACCCTCCACCTCGATTAATGGCTCCAGGGGGTTGTAAATTGTTGCTGCGGGTGACGGGTGCACCTTCCTGGTGGCCATGCTAGGCGCAAAGATAAGTTCCATGCAGTTTGGAGCGGAGTAAGGCATAGCCACCGCCTTGTGTACGTCTATTACACATGATTCTCAATGTAGACGTATAGCAGTGCTACTGCTTTGCATGTTGATGAAACATGGCTCCCATCCACAAGCATCCTTGTCTTATTTCTTCGGGTTTACACTGCATATGGGTATGTATATGGAGTTGCATGTGGTGCAGCGCAAGCCACCAGTGGTCGCTCTGTATGCGCAGCCGTTCTGTGGCTGTCCTGTGGAGGCAACAGTGACAGGCAGATCCGGAACTGTTTGCAACCAACCATGTAGATATAACTAGGTTTTGCTAAGCTAGGTAAGATAACCTCTTGAGATATTGGGTAAATATAAATGATGTTTGATCCTGGTTCCCTTAAGAATTAAAGTTAAAAAATGAAAGCATGAAAAAATGGTTTGCTAAAAATAATATAGCAAACGCTTTATAGTTATTTTGGGTGTTCAGATTGGATATTGAACAGTTACCAGAAAAAATCAAGTTCGCAATGAGACATTCACAATGATGTACGCAATAAAATCTGGATATCCACTGTAAATTCATAAAGAATGACGATAAAAATTAAACGATGAAAAAGGAATTTGTACTAGTTAGGAAGGGTTGCTTTACGAGTTCCGTTGGATAGTTGGCAAGGATATCGACATAACAATAATGATAATAATGATAGCAACACAGTAAGTGCTTTAAATATGAAAATAAGAACTTACTTTTTGCTCCGCCCTAGTACTGCAATCCGCTTAGATTCACAGCACCCGCAGTTAACGTCAAATAGTTCCATGGTAAACTCTAGATGTAGGAAGGGGAAGTAGTACTAAGTGATAAATTAGTATTGCATGAGTGCATCATCCAACCGTCTTTTAAATACTGTCAGTGTCGGTGCAGAGCCGATCGATTCTGGGAGAGCACTACACGGATGGAAAAGAAACGTCTGCGGCACTTCAGGCTGCTGTATTGTTCTGCGAGTTTTAATGAGGGGCCTCTCAGTGTTGTATTGGTGCCGAATCGCAGAAAAGGGCGGCACACATGATGTGGGCCTCGCATTATCAAGTATGACCTAATCAACCCGCCTCTTATTCTGCGATATCTTCCACTGTATAACCCCAATTGTTGCAGCCTCCCCTGGTATGAACGATTAAACACTCCGATTGCGTTATTAGATGCCCGAAGTTGTGGCTGCTCCAGTACATTAAGGTCGTGTTTCAGCCATGGATGCCAGGCTTGAATTGCGTAGTCAACAGGGGGGCGAACATACGCACTGAGCATTTGTCGAAATATGGAGCTGTTTATTTGTCCAAACGCCCGTCTCAACAGCCCAATGTGTTGGTTTCCAGTCTTCGAGGACTTTTCGGATTGCCTTAAGCAACCCAGGTCATATTGGACCAGGACACCCAAGTCACATTCGAGGGTTGATTCTTGTACTATATTCGATCCGAGTCGGTATAAGTAGCTGCTCGGATGTCGGATGGAAAGCACATTGCATTTACTGACGTCGAAATGCAGTAAGTTTTGGGTTCAATATTGATACACCGTGTCTAGGCCAAACTGCAGCACAAGTTGGTCGGTGTTCGCGTGGATCCTGCTCCAGATTTGTATATCGTCGGCAAACATTAGGAACTTTAAAGCGATTCCCTGTACAAGGTCATTAATAAACACCAAAAACAAACGTGGACCCAGAACTGAGCTTTGCGGCACACCCACTCGACTTGTGTGAGGTCCAATAAAGAGCTCCGAACTCTGAACATTAATCACAGTTGAAGTGGGAAGTTGGCAATCCAGCTCAAAATAGGGTCGCCGATCCCGCAACGTTGGAGCTTGGAAAGTAGTATCCGATGGTCTAGATGATTGCAAGCCTTGAAAAAATCCAGCTAGATCACATAAACCCTTTCTCCAGCGTCAGCCGCCTCGGTTCCACTACTGCTTTCGGTTAATAAATTCCTTGTGCATGAACGTAGTCGACTGAAAACAGGGTGTTCAGTTGTGGTGATGATACATTTTTTCAGATAGCGCACCAGTGCTTTGGTAACCTTTGGTTCCATGACCTTGGAGAGTATAGGAAGAATGGATGCTGGGCGGTAGATGGAGGGATCAGTTATGATCCATCTGTGTGAATCGGGGTTATTATTCCAGGCTTACACATAGCGGGAACTTAATTCTGATCAAAGCAGTGATAGAAAACTGAGCTAAAGGTCCTATAAGTTGACTTGCTGCTGCTTCCAGTGTCTCCAGACGAATAGTGTTGACACCCCGTTAGCTGTGTTTGTGTAGCCACTCCAGCTTATTCAATAAAGCCTCCACGTTAAAAGTGATGTGGGTTATTCATGGCGAGGAGCCAAAAAGGTTGGAAGATCGCTTGGTGGCAAGACCCATTGAGACCTGGGGGTTTATTGAGTCCGCAGGGCGTTTTCTGCACCCACAGCCGTTCTTGTTAGGTCATTGGCCGTCCTGAATGGACGAATTCCTTGTCTGGAATTGCTTAAGCTATTGAGATGATTACACATCAATTTGCGGTTAGTAATAAAGGTTTTTGCGATGTTCTACTGATAGGCGACTTCGTCTGCTCTTAGCAGCTGAGTGCAGTGGTTATGTTGGGCTAGGTTTTCGTCCCAACTTTCAAGTGTTGGAGTTCATCTGCACGCTCGCCAGGCTGCGTTGCGTACTGCCATCCCTTTTATGAGTTCTGCTCTTGACAAAAGCAACTGATGTACACTAATTTAGACTCTTATCTCTGATGCCTCTGTAGTCCGCTTATGGAATTTATTGACGAAGTCGAACCAGACGACTTCCAAGGGTTCTTCGGCAAGGAATAACCAAGTTGCAGCGCTGACGAACTTGGCTAATCGGTCGTATCTTGCGATGGTTTACATGGCTTTATTGTTCTCATTCCGATATTCAGCATAGCAGACGAACTTGAAACTAATGACTGCATGATCACTGCGACCCAAGCTGCAGTTACTCGTTTTTTTGGATTGGATAATGATACCTCGTTCGCAACTTGGTTCGGCAAAGGTGCGTTTCAATCTTCGTTTGGACTTACGTAAGAGTCAAATAAAGTATTAGTCAAGTTACGATTCTTTACCTTCGTCTGCATTCTTGGTGCTTCAGGTGTTTTAATTGTTGAGCTGTGAAACCCTTCTGCTACCTTTAACCGAAGTTCAGAAGGTAGAGGTTGCCGATTTCTCCGCCATCGATCCAAAAACCTCCTTTGCTTGCTGCTCTGACTGAACCACAAAGTCTAGGATTATATTGCCACATCCTCTATTCTAAGGTGAGAGGTGGTGTGTGATAGCGCCAAAAAGTATGCAAAAAATGTGTTTCACGAGTGAAGCGCCACTGTCCTAAATTGTGCATTCCGGTATCTTAAACATCGTTAGAAGGATGTTCTGTTACCCCATGTACGAAGATTGTGCTTCGCCGGTCTTGATTGCTGTGTCCCACTTTGGAGTTTCTTTTTGCTTGTCGCGCTCTAAGGGACATCATGATCGATGCGTATTCCACAGGATCCGTGTTTTATCGCGCTTTCGGAGACTAAAACGTTTTCTACATCTTTGGAGGATTATAGTGTTACTCGAATAAGTCTGGATTCTCCATAATGTGGCAAGTACGGATGACGAGTTATTCGTGATACGTTTATAGGTTTGGCCTTCACACTCATCAGCACGCACAATGAGTTCCATTGGTCTTAGTCGTCCGATAATTTATCCCATAAAGCAATGGCGGTAGATTCAGGGAGAATTGAGTATACTAACAATCCAGGCACCATTGTTGGATCCCTTTTTTGTTGATCCACATGATAAGGTAATCGCTTGTCCCGATCTGCGGAGTAGTTTTTGTTTATTGTTTGCCCCTCTATTCGCGTTAACGGTATTTACAACAGAAGAGGTCGCTACGGTGTCATCCCGGCGGACCTTTGTTGCAATTTCTGCATACGCAACTGATATTCCGGGAGGCTTTGTCTCCACAAGAGACATTTGAGCTATAGGTACTGAGGGTTGGTGTTCGGCTGCTTCATCCTTATTAATACGATATGACTGGTCTAGTTGATTTTGGTAAACAAAACCTTTTGAATGCTGCCTTATTTTCGTTGCCATGAGTATTGCTTGACTCACGTAGGTTCTTTCAGATTACGCCTGGCGTTCTACCAAATTCGGAGAAGGCAACGAAGATGAAAACGTGGGTGATTACGGTTCAGGAGAAGCAGATTGTGCAGCATTCCGTTGCTTAGAAGCCGTTACGCTTCCGTGGTACATGCCCGTTTCCATTAAAGGAATATTGTCATCCTCTGCTCGGCTTCTGCTTTTAACTGGTCACACTTCTGAACTAGGATAAGCAAGCACTTAACGAGTGGTATGGTGGAGCACGGAGTACAGGACCAAAGTGCACCTTGTGAGCATTTGCGCTCTCGTACCTGTTGTTGGGACCCAAGTGCACATTTCGGATGATACCATTCCAAACAGTGCGAGCAAGCCAGACCGATTTTAACTATTCGGAGACATTCTCCTAACCTACAAATGACTTTCACTTGGAACCTTTTCGGATTCGCATTTCTGCTAATCAACGTGGTGTCGTTACCTGAATTAGTAGGTTGCTTAGCGTTCTGTACTTTTCCAACGTTAAGAGCAGTGCACATCGCTCAGGCGAGCGTGGTGGTTGCAAGTTCAATTAAGCGGTCGGGGTGGTCGCGCATTTCGTGTGACGGGTTAAGCGGGCGCATTGGCTGACAAGGTCACATGGAATGGTGAATGACTGGAACCTGCTAACTGAATCTGAACACTGATCTGCGTTATTATGAGTTGTGTAACCTTCTGATAAAAACAGCCAACGGGTGAA